GGCCTGGAGCTTTCATTCAATCCATAGGAAACACAACCTCCTTTATTTCCTCCACCTCAAATCTCCTTTCCAACCTTTGCTTGCTTTCTGCCCCTAGATTTGGCCAGTCCAACCCTTCTAACCACACTCTCACTCAAAAGCCTTCTAAAGATGGACTTAGTGAACTATAAAAGCTCATGTTATCTCCTCCTGGTGGGTCAAGATTGACCCTTCCACTTCTAGGTGATCTTTCCTCCCAGTGGCCGATATTGCCTAACCCCAAGCCCCCTTGCTTCTTGCTTCTACAAACTAAATCCCATCTCACCAGGTGATCTTTCCTTCCTTCACCTGTCTCTCACAAGAAGTCCCTCATGATCTTCTCTAATTTCACTACCTCCCTTTTTAGCATCTTGAATACTAAGAGGACGAAAACTAGAAGGTTCGCTAAGGTATTAACCAAAGTATTACGACCCCCTAGAGACACATGGTTCCTCTTCCAATTTGACAGTTTCTTTGCACATCTTTCAAGAATTGGGCTCCAAAAACTTTCTTCCCGTGGGTTGGCTCCTAATGGCAAACCCAGATATTTCAAGGGCCACCTAGTAGTAGGGCAACCTATGGCTATTGTAACCCTCTCCATCTCTTCCTCTCCCAAGTTCAATCCCACTACACAAATCTTTTCAAAATTGATCTTTAACTTAGAGACAAATTCAAACAATTTAATCACTTGCTTCAAAATACTTACCTTCTGAGGATGAACACTCTAATAGAAAATAATTGTATCATCAGTAAACTGCAAATGTGTGACAACCATGCTCTCTCTCAACCCTCCATCCATTAAAAAGTGCCATGCTATCAGCTCTTACTAGAACCCTACTAAGCACCTCAGCAACCAAGGTAAATAGGAAAGGATAAAGGGGATCCCCTTGCCTCAAACCTCTAGTTGTTGGGAAAAAGTCTCTGACCACTCCATTAACTAGGACTGAACAATGACAAGTTTTTAGACATCCTTTTATCCATCCACACCATCTCTCTCCAAACCCAAAATTTTTCAAAGTGTCCAAGAGGAAGGACCAATCAACCATATCATAAGCTTTCTCCAAGTCCAATTTACACACAAAACCTTTCTTTTTTTCTTTTCTTAAAGTCCACCACACATTCATTAGCTATCAAAATTTGATCAGTGATCTATCTACCTTTAATGAACGCCCCTTGCGAATAGCTTTATCAAATCAGGAAGGACTAGCTTCAATCTTAAAGACAACACTTTGGCCAAGATTTTATATATGCTTGTTACCAGGCTAATTGGTCTGAAATCTCTCGGTTGATTCGCACCTCCCTTCTTTGGGTTCATGGCTAAGAATGTTGAATTTATTCCCGAACTAATAAAATGTTCCCTAGCAAATCCTCAAAGATTGCCCAAAGGTCCTCTTTAATTATCTCCCAACAATCCTGATAAAAAGCCATAGTGAAACTGTTCGGTCCCGGAGCTTTAGATCTATCCATTGAAAATACAGCTCCTCTTATCTCTAACTCAAAAACCCTTTCTAACACTCTTGCCAAATCTGGACTCAGTCTTGGTCAATCCAGTCCTTCCAGAGTAACACCTACACCCTCTTGTCTTTTATAAACTGATTTGAAATGAGCCACAAAACAATTAGCAATCTCTTCTTGATCGGCCAGGGTTTCTCCATTTACTTCTAATTTCTCCACAAATTTTTTTTCTTCTTCTTCTTCCATTAGCAAGTGCATGGAAAAATTTAGTATTCCCATCCCCCTCTTTGACCCACAACTGTCTTGATTTCTGCCTCCAACTGATTTCTTCCCTCAACAAAATTTCTTCCAATTCTTTTTTCAATGACCATCTCAGAGGCTTATCCTCCTCATTTAATGAACCTTGACTTTCCTTAGCATCCAAATGCTCAATTTGAGAAGTTACCACTAGTTTTCTCTCCTCTATTCTACCAAAATGATCTCTATTCCACTCTTTGATTTCACATTTAAGCCTTTGTAACTTCCTATGGAACTTTATGCCTTTCCATCATATGCCTTGCACTTCAATTCCCTACCATTCCTCTATCTTGTAAACAAAGTTAGAGAGTGTAAGCCACATGTTCTCAAACCTAAAAGGTTTTGGGCCACTCAAAAAGTCTTTGGTTCTAATACTAATCGGGCAATGGTCGGAAGTAACTTGCAGTAATGCTTTTGTCATCAACCCATTCCAATGCTCTTCCCAATCTAGTGTGAAAATAAATCTGTCCAGCTTTGAGCAACTACGGGGGATTTGTAAATTGGACCAGGTGAACAAACTCTGCGAAGTAGGAAATTCCTTTAGCTCACACTCCTCTATGAAATCATTAAACTTCCTCATACTAGTAGAGACTCTCTGATTGGTATTATTTGTCTCACTAGTGAATCTGACGACATTAAAGTCTCCCCCTAATCACCAAGGTCCACTCCAAAAACCCCTAATATCAAAAAGATCTTCCCACATTTCTCCTCTTTCTCTATATCTATTGGGTCCACAGGTATTCGTCAACACCCAAATAAATCCATCGTCCACATTCTTGAATTTTAGGGAAAGTGAGAACCGACCTGTTAGCTCTTCCAGTGGCACCACCATCTCAGTTCATATTGTTACCACACCCCCTGAAGCACCCCATGACGGAATAAAGGACCATCCTATATCTCTAGAGCCCCACACACTTCTCACCCATCTTCTATCCATATCCACAACTTGTTTCCTGAAGCATCACTATATCAAGGTTCTCTTTTCTAAGTAGATCCATTATTACTGGCCTCATCCTAGCACTGCCCAACCCCTTAACATTCCAACTCACCATCTTAATGTCAGCTTATACCAAACCACCCCTTACCCTTTTCCCCAACTTTTCAGCTTTCCTTCTTTCCTTCTTTCCTCCCTCGCACTAAATTCTAGATCCTCTGCTACATCAGATTTCAGTCTTTCTACCACTGTCAACTTTCTCTTTCTTTGAGCATCCTTCTCACCCTTCTTTTTGGAGTAAACTTTAACGTCCTTCAACTCTTTAACCTGGAGATCCAACTCCCCAACTAATTCCACCAAGGCTTCCCCTCCCTGCTCTCTTAGTTCCCCAATTAAGTCCCTTTTCATCTGACTAATTTCCTGTTTGTCCGATATCTTTTCAAATGCTTCCCCTGTTTTTGCATTCTTGAGCAAGTCCTCAAAGAAACAACACACTAATTCCCAAATCTTTTCTCCCTGGTGCTCCAAGGATTCCTCCTCCCCTTCTTCTACTCTAATTTCCCCGTCCCTCACACTCTCTTCTTGTCCGTTTTCATCTAAAGGTTGGGGCTGGATTGTCTCTATTACAGTCACAACAAACTCATCAGTAGCCTTAAAATTATTGACATGTGTACCTGGAGATAAGGATACTACATGGCTGCTTATCTTTTGAGCACCTGACTTGGCAACCAACCCAGCCAGACCAATTTCCATCAGGCAGAGGCAAAGCCCAAAACCATACAGGTGATCAGACTAATGGGGTTCAGCCAACGGCCTATCCTATGAAGCACAGACAACTACCTATCAGATTTTTCTACGAAAGGAAGCCATGTCAGCTAGACAGTTAGAAGTGGGTTTTGAGTTTGTTAAGATCAGATTTTAGTTATGTAAGAACTATAAACGGGTGGGAGCTGGAGAGAAGAACGAGAAGAATACCTCCCCATATCTTTTCCTTAATTCTTCTTCTTACGAGGTTAGGTCACTCTCGAAGTGGCCTATGTGTTGAGCAGTAAACTCAACACTGTGGCTAACTGAATCGATGGAATCAGATCCAGAAATAGGATTTTATATTATTGAAATAAGATCCTTTATTTGAATTCAATTCAACTGGTTTGCAGCACTACATTTTATCCCATATTCCCATGTTGTAATTGTATATACAATATACCAGAAAACATTTTATATCATTCGCAAAAGTATATAATTACATATAAAAAACTTAATAAAATAGCTGTATATATGCCAATTCTCTAAATCCTACTTTTTGGGGCTTGCCAAGTCAGACACCTCATACCAAGGGTCGTGACACACATTTCCAACCCATATGGCATGGCCTAGTGAAGAAACATGATAAATAGAGTATGCAGAAGACAGAATGGACGACTAGGCAGAAGAATGGGGGGAGAGAGTTAATAGTGTCTGTCATCATTCCATTTATTACTTCTTTTCACAAAATATAAGGCCATTGCCCAATTTCAGTCCTGGCTATATGGGGTCATGGGAAGGGTGGACTGGATAAGGGCCTAACTTTTGGCATTTTTTGCACAAAGTAGCCTCGCTCAGACCTGAACCCACATTCTCATCGCACCAAGCAATTACCTGAGAAATCAGTATTCCTCTTTTTACAGAACAAAATTAAAACAAAATATTTGTGGAAAGTAGCATATTATAGCACTTGCAACTATAGCTTCAAAACAATAAAACTACAGTTCTTTTCTTCTTTATCAATAATGTAATTATTAATAAGAAGAATAGAAGAAAGATGCAAATGCTGATACTTCCTAGCAGGACATGGTGAAATCAGCAAAAGAAAAAAGGACAATCAACCCACAGAGAAAAGGGTACAAAAAGACACCAAAATGAAGTAAAATCCCCAGCTATTACTGAGCCCATTAGCCAGCAGATTAACAGTTTAGATATCCATCTAAATGAAATTCAAGCAGCTCATAATAGAGTGTGAAAATAATGTTTGCATCACGTCCAAATATATCCAGCCTATATAGTTAGTTTGTGTAAAAACATGTGGATTACACAATAGGGTCGTTATAAAGCATGTCAACTAATAGAGCCATATTTCAAAGCCAAGAATTTTTCAAATAACTTCACAATTTTTCCAACTTTCTATAATTTCTCTTTTCTTGAGGTATTGGAACATACCCGGGAACCAACATTATAAATTACTAGTGCTAGATGCCCATAATTGAGAATTTGTAACGCAACTGTATCCAGCTAGATGGATCAAACTTATATTACATACCTCATAAATAATTGTATGTTCTCTTCACATATCCGATCTACTAATGTAGATCCTAAATTATCAGCAGAAGCCAATTTTTTAGATGAGTCCTGCACAAGCATAAAACATGACTAATGTGGATGTCTGGATGATTTACCATCAATCACAGGTTCATAGTTTATATAACATTAATGTGCTCAAACTATTGTATGTAACAAGCTAGAACAAAATTGAAAGGGGAAAAACAATTAGTACAAAATGGAGATGCAGATATTCATGCCATACATGCATGCATTCCCATACATTGATGTAAACCCAATATATGTGTGTATTTATTCGAGTTTGACAAACTAAAAAAGAAAAAAAAAAGAGAGAGAAAGAACTCCAAAAGTATCCATTTCTTCCTATTAGGTCTACTGTGCTCATTGTACTTGCATGCATTAGACCTTCCCAAACTGTCTCTGTAATAATGCTCTTTGAAGACCCATTACAAACAAGGGATTTAATATAACTTACAGATGTTAGGCCAGTAATATGCTCAGCAGTTGGAGATTCTGTCTGAAAACAAGAAGTGACATCATTTCCAGGTTGTGCATTTCTCAACTCCGGCCTCAAGTTAGCAGCAAGGCCAATGACAGGTTGGTTTAAATGCATTTCATTTTCCAAATTAGCTGACAAGCCACTGGCATGTTGATCAGTAGGCAGTTCCCTCTGTAAATTGGCTGCAAGTGCAACAGGAGGCTGCTCAGTGGAACAGCCATTCCTACTTGACCTGACACCTGGAGTCTGCAAACCTATCAAATGAGCATGGTCTTTCCTGCATTGCCCAGAACGAATTCCAACCAGTCAGGAAGATATCACATGACTAGTTAACAGATTGCTGGAATAGAAGTTAAAGTGCTACTAATTGAAGTTATTTCCATCTATACAAATCCTCTGCTTCTTTAGAGAACAATAAAAGAAGCCAATCAGTTGAGAAATAAACATAACACCAAGGTGGGAATTGAAACGTGTCCTTAGAAGTAAAACAGTCCGGACTAAAAACCAGCTCGTTTAGAAGGACTAATCTATTAATGAGATAACTGGTTGTACCACATCTAGTATAGAAGTAAGAGTTGAGGAAATAACTAAATACAAAATCTACCACAAAAAAAACTTCATGTCAACTGTAAGTAGGAAAGCTCGCAGACATACCAAAAGAGACTTTAAAGAGCAAAACTAACCAGTATTCAAGCATCATTTGTTTGAGCTTCATTTCAAGTCGAATAAACAAAGACGACCTTTCAAAATCTTGCTTGTCATGTGCTGGTTCAATAAAATTTGCTTCAAGAACCCCTGCAATTTATAAGATAATGAAATAAATAATCTAAATTCCTCATAATTACTTGACAAAGATTGACAGGAGTGAATAAATACCAACTACGCCATTCCCTCGAGAAGAATATTCGTCAACAACTTTCCAGAAGGGCTGAAGCAATGAAAACATATTATCAGACATTAGTATTAACTATTTACTTCAGTGGTAAAGCAAAAGTTTGAAACATACCCTGATAAGGCGACATTTGTGGTAAATATTGAACCCGGAAACTGGAAGAAAGGGAGCCTCTTTTACAAATCCAATCGTTGTTTCTACAGAAACTGTCTTTTAATCCACACAAGTATAGAAAATGAGATCAAATGCAGATCAAGATAACCATTCAGATGAATAGCAAAAGAATCTATTGGCAGGATGAGAAAACATATCTTCATAATAAACATTTTTCCATCCACCTTACAACCAAAACCATCACCAACACACACACACACACACACACACACACACACAAATCCAGGCCATAAAAGGTTCAACATAATTCTAACTTGTAAAGGATATTGCAAGAGAAATTGCATGTTTGCAACCATCTTACTACTAACTCTGACTCTCTCTCCACTTCTAGTTGTTAAAAGCCCAATTGCTTAGCCAATCTGAGTCCTTGGAGGAGGGCCATTACTTCTACTCTAAGCGAGTCCTCCAATCCTATTGGATCAGAATACATAGCCAGGACTCTTCCTCCTGCATCTCTAAACACACCCCCAATTCCAGAGGGTCCAGTGTTCCCAACAGAGCTGCCATCAAAGTTTAGTTTCACAATACACTGCAAAGGAGGGGACCAAACTGCTTGTATGGTGGAAGATGAAGCAGAAGACCCTACTACTATACTCCAACCTCTAGTCAAGTGATCTATAGAGGCATCCTTGAACAAGTCATCTACAATGACAAAACTTTCATCCATAGGATATGAGATGGGCTTTGGTTGGATTTATTTCCATAAATCACTAGGTTTAAGATTTGAACTTAAATTTAAATTTGACTTCAAGGTGAGTCCCACATGGGCTCCCCCTCTTATGCTAATGGATTTGTAAAGACAAGGCCCATTTAAAGTCCATGAAAACTTTAATGTCTACAAAAATAAAGATAAACAAATTGCCACCAAGTAAATTCTTATGATTAGGGCTTGACCCCAAAAAGAACTGCTTATTAGTATTGTGTTCCATTAACTATGCTATTTCCTCCATCTGCCTGAGTGGGCACCATGAACAAAGCCCCCTTCTAGCATTCAAATATAGTGAATCTACGAAAAGGCAAGCCTTAGACTTGTTACCTCCAAATTATCACATATGGAGTTAGCTATTTGGAAGGGATTATGAAAGCTCAGAATAAGCATACTCAATAAAAAGAATTGAAAGTATAAGATGATTCCACTTAACTTTGGAGGATGATTGGAGTAGAGTTGACAAGCTCTGTTATTTGTGCAGAAGGCAATACAAGGTTTCAAGCCAAGTAGGAAGAAATATCTCCTAGTTCTGTATATCTTGGGGTAGGGCTATTACTTGGAACCCATTTTTTATAGATCCTTATCAAGTAGAAATATTACAGAAACCTTCCTCGCCCAAGAGCTAAAAGATATTATTATCAGGCTAGATGCAAAGGATGAGATCTTTTGGAAGGAGGAACTTCAAGGAAAGTTCAAAAAATTAGGTTTTACTAAATTGCTCTTGCCAAAGTCATAGGGATGGATCTAGATGCATCTAAGGAAATCAGGTCCATCCTTGGTTGAAGCATTTATATAGTTGGTCTTTTCCTGACAAAGTACTTAATATGGAATATCCAAAAGGGGCACAAGTACTTAATATGGAATATGGAATATAGTTGTCATGTGCAACTAAGCTGAACAGTTGGTAAACTTCCACCCAAAAACATCTTTAATTTGGGAATTTTAGTTGAGTCTAGGTGCCCCATTATATGTGTAGCCAATATTCCAAATAAGTTGACCGTGCCCTAGTTCTTAATCCTTCTTAACACAGACACAGACACAGAAACACACAGATCTCCAAATCTCTATCATATTCAATGCAACAAGGGCTCCCTTGCCTTGTTTGCTTTCCCCCAATAGCAGTTATACTTCCCCCCACCAACGCTGGGAAGAACTGCAAGATCGCCTCTCGATTCATCACACGGTGCAGGCCCTTTGCGGGACTCTGCAAGAAGATTTTGTTGAGGAGCTACGTCTTCAAAACAAAATCAAAGATAATTTATTCACCACTCTGAATCACGCTAGGGTTAGCATCTCTCCCCCCTTGTATTTTTTTGATAATTAAGAGAAGTTTCATTATTAGAAAAAGAAATTACAGAAGCTATGGTAAAAAAAACAAAGGTTAAAATTTGATTTTTTTTTTCCTTTTGCTAAAACAAAGGTTAGAGTGAAATAGATAAAACAACAACCCCAAATGTTTAATCACCCTTACTACAAAGATCTAATAATGAAATCTTCTCTTTTTCATATTTTTAAATTCAGGATGCACCAACAACCACTCCATAATTGATTGGTATTGTTTTCTTGGTAAAACACGCAGCAGGATCTCAGAATAGTGAGAGAAGAGGAGGGAGAAGAAAGAAGAACGAAGAGAGGAAAGAGAAAAAATGTTTTGGAGAGAAAAAACTCAGTTGGTGTTGCCAACCTTTTTGATATTTATATTAGGACGACTGTTCAACTAATAAAATAATGTAAAATTACATATGTGCCCTTGTGGCACTAAACTAAAGTAAGACTAGCTTATTCAACACCCCCCTCAAGTTGGGACATAGATATCAATCATAACCAACTTGTCACATAAGTCATCGTGACGCGAGTGATGTAAGCCTTTTGTAAATATATCTGCAAGTTGCTCCTTAGAACTAACATATGGGGTGCACACTTCCCCATTAACAATTTTCTCTCTGATAAAGTGTTTGTCAACCTCAATATGTTTAGTTATCATGAAGAACTGGGCTGGCTGCAATGTTGATGGCAGCCTTGTTATCACAATATAAGGACATGGGGCTATCAACTGGAAAACCCAGTTCACTCAACAAATTCTTTATCCACATGGCTTCAGGCACTCCATGGGACATTGTTCTATACTCAGCTTCAGCACTAGACCTAGCCACCACACTTTGTTTCTTGCTTCTCCATGTGACTAGGTTTCCTCTCACAAAAGAACAATATCCACTAGTAGACTTTCTACCATCAACTGATCCAGCCCAATGAGCATTTGTATACACTTCAATCTCCAAATGCCCGTTCTTTTGGAATAGCAAACATGAACTGACTAAGAACACCTACGGCATAAGCAATGTCTGGTCGGGTCATAGACAAATATATGAGCCTTCCCACAAGTCTCTGGAATTGCTTTATATCCTTGATAACCTCACCACAACAATCACTTAGTCTGTGATTTAGATCAATGGGAGAGTCAGCTGGCTTAACCCCTAATTTTCCTGAATCCTGTAACAAATCTAGGATGTATTTCCTTTGAGAAATGAAGATCCCCTTTTGTGAGCGGGCCACTTCAATTCCAAGGAAATACCGTAGGGAACCTAGACCCTTCACCTCAAATTGAGTGGCTAAGAGATCCTTTAGCCTCTGAATTTTAGCTTTCCAGTCACATGTGATCACTATGTCATCAACATACACTATCAAGGCTGCAATCTTTCCTTCCCCCTTTTTCACAAATAGTATATGGTCAGTCTGACACTGTTTGTAGCCAATTTGTTGCATAGACAGATGAAACTTGCTAAACCAAGCTCTTGGTGATTGTTTTTAGACCATATAAGGACTTCTTTAACCTACACACTTTCTGCTCTTTGCCTTGAGCACTAAAGCCAGGAGGTTGTACCATGTACTCCTCTTCCTCAAGATCTCCATTCAAGAAGGCATTTTTAATGTCTAGCTGATGAAGATCCCAATCAAGATTTGAAACAAGAGAGAAAAGAACTCTAATGGAGTTCATCTTAGCTATTGGAGCAAAAGTCTCTGCATAATCTATTCCATATACCTAGGTAAATCCTTTTGCCACCAACCTGGCCTTGTACCTTTCTATTGTGCCATCAGCCTTGTGCTTCATTGTGAACACCCACTTGCACCCTATTGGTTCCTTACCCTCAAGAAGATCCACTAACTCCAACGTACCATTTTTATTGAAGGCATTTATCTCTTCTTTCATTGCATTTGTCCACTTAGGTACTAAGAGAGATTATAGGGACACTGTCGATGGAAGAAAGGAAAGCATGAAAAGAGGGTGAGATATTCTCATAGGAAAGAAAATGCGAAATAGGATGTGTGGCGGTACAAGTCCTAACTCCCTTCTTTTTTGCAATAGGGATGTCTAGGTCATTAGCAGATGAAGTATCAATAGCAAGAGGATCAGAAACATCAATAGGAATGAGAGTACCTAGTTGGATAGGATCTATCCCCAGTGAATCTAATGATGTTGGTGGTATAGTTTCAAGTTGCTCCACCGCTCTTGAATTTAGCTGGCCCTTGCGGAGACGAGAAAAAACACAGAACAAAGGAGGATCAGGAAGAGGGGGAAGAACCTGAACTCATTTCTCCTCTACCTTACTCTCCCCCCGAGGAGAAACAAAGGAAAAAGGGTCACTCTCAAAGAAAGACACATCTATAGACACAGTATTTCTTGGAAACAAGGTCAAAACATCGATAACCCTTTTGAGAAGAAGGGTAACCCAAGAATACATAGGGAATGGTACGAGGATCAAATTTGCCACGAGTAGGAGATAGGTCTCGGACAAAACAACGACAATCAAACACACAGATAGGGATAGAGAAGAGGGGAGCCTTGGGAAATAGGAGCTGATGGGGGGCCTTGTACCCTAATAAGTGAGATGGCATACGGTTGATAAGATAGGCAGCATGCAATACAACATCCAACCAAAAACGTTTAGGAACATTCATGTGTATGAGTAACCCACAAGCAACTTCAAGGAGGTAGTGGTTTTTTCTTTTGGCAACACCATTCTGTTGGGGGGTTCTAGCACAAGAACTGTGATGTATGGATTCACACGAAGCAAAAAACGCCGTGAGATCGCTATGAAAGTACTCTTTGGCATTGTCCGATCGAAAAATTTAGATCTCCGTTTGAAACTGAGTGAATATCAAGTGTTGGAAATCTTTAATGATTTTGGGTACTTCATCTCTAGACCGTATAGGATACACCCATGTATATCAGGAGTAGTCATCAATAACCGTAATGAAATACTTATAGCCAGACTCAAATGTTAAAGTAACAGGGCCCCAAACATCAAAATAAACAAAACTTTCAACGATTCAAAAGATAAGTTTGACATGTGAAATCCAACACTGACACCGACTTAAATAAATCAAGTAACAAAACTTTCAATGATTCAAAAGATAAATGACCCAAACAACTATGCCATAAATGGACTTGACTCTTACTAGGCAGACTCTTAGACCCAATAGCCACAAGACTAGCTTTATTCTCTAGCATGTAAAGACCATCCACCATACGACCTGTATCAATCATCTCCCACGAGGCCTAATCCATCACACAAGAGGCTCCAAAATCTATTATCCAAGGAGAGTTTGAGGTATGTGAGGACAGATGGAAAGCTGTGGCAGAATTACCGTTACCTGATGTAGACGCAAAGGAAGTCGAGCGGGGAGAAACTGAATCCATCTGGTGGATTGCCCTCCCATATAGCTCCAAATGGTCACAGAAAGAATTAATGATATCTTCCCTGGGAGTTGGTTCCTTGACCAGCTACAATGGTAGATGTCTAGATGATTAAGGCTCCTAAGAGGCTAAGTTTGTTGCATTAAACTTCTTTTGACCTCGCTTTCTCGACTTCTTATTCTGGTCTGATTTTTTACTCAACTCCTGGGCCCACTTTGGCTCAAGGTTCTAAATATCGATACGCCTAATATGCCGGTAGGGGCGTATCAAGTAGTATCAGTACTTTTTTTTCAAATCCAGTTCAGGGGGCCGGTTTAAGGTTCCTCCACCCCCTGAACCAGTCAAAACCCCGATACACCCTCTGTAGGGACGTATCGGGGTGCTCCCGATACGATATGGGCCAATGTTTTGGACCTTACTTTGGCTTCCCATGAAGTTCCCAACATGTATCCTAAGTATGTCTAGATTTCTGACAATGTGTGCACCATAGTTTATCCTTGTCATCAACTTTCTTCTGGAAGTCGCACTTCTTAAAGGAATTACCACCTCCCATAGCAACACTCCCTTTAGCTACTAATGCAATCTGCTCCCCCTCAGAATTATTCATCACATTCCATATGCTTTCTTCTGACTGTACTAGAGCATACACTTCTTGCACCGATGCGAGATCTTTACTCCCCAATATCTAAACCCTGATAGATTCATATGTGGAATTCAGCCCTAAGAGGAAAGGAAACACCTGTTGCTAGGAAACCAGAGACTTGTATGCTTTAGCATCTATATCACATTTCTAGTCTATGTTCTGATAATGATCTAGTTCATTTTTGAAAATAAAAAAAAAAAAAAAGAACTAGATCATTATCAGAACATAGACTAAAAGATCAAGTCTAAATAGTAAACGGAGAGACTACTCTCCCCTTACTTACAAGTTGAGGAGGCAGCCTACAATTGATATATTTTGGCATAATGTCCTTGTTGTGAATATGTAGACTTAGCCTGCTACCATATCTCATGAGTTGTTTCTGCCCACATGAAGGTCTTCTCACTTGTGGCAGCATGGACAATAACAGCCATGACATCACCATGCTGTTTTCCTGGTCCCACCTATCAAAGGGAATTGAGACCATCAAAGGGAACCACATCCATGGGAAAACTCATGTCAAAGCCTCCACTCATTCCACTCTGACTAGAAGTCACACCAGACATACCAGAATCCTCAGAAGACATGGTACTTCATTTCAGTTCAGTCACGATTGAGCCAAAGAACTAGTTCTCAGTTCAGTTCAGACTCAGTTCAGTCAAAATATTTAAAACCTTAGTCCAGACACAGTTCTAGGCACAAAAAAATTCTTGTTCTCACACAGCATAATCAAATCTGATCACACAACATCACTTGTTCTCATATTACAACCCTACTGAACCAGTTCAGATGTACAAAACTTATCAAAAATCAGGTCTGACCAGTCCCTCCAAACAATAATTCATCAATTTTTCACACAACCACTGAAATTTCAATAGGAACTAAGGAAAAAAAAAAACTGTTGTCACAGCAGTTACAGAACATGCAGACCTGAACAGCCCACCTTTCAGGGCACAAGAAGGATCACTCGATCCACATAGGCTGAGAGGAAACACTCTCACAACAGCCACCAGTCATTAGACCCACACAACCCACTCACCTAGGTGCAGAAGGATCAATTTGATCCACAAAGTTGAGGAGAAAAGAAAAAAAAAAAAAACCTTTCACAGCATTCTGCTTCCCTCCCCTTGGTGTTTTCTGGGCCCACGACCAAGAGGGGAGAGGAAGAATCACACAGCAAGCCTCCTCACGTCAACCAGAAGTCCCTTTTCTTTGATTCGATCACCAATGGACAAAGAAAGCAGCAGGAGAAAGAAAGGACTGATCGTACTGCTCCTAAGACTTGATCTGTCGCTCTGATACCATGTTTTCTTGGTAAACATGCAGCAGGATCTCAGAATAGTGAGAGAAGAGGAGGGAGAAGAGAGAAGAGAGAAGAGAGGAAAGAGAAAAAATGGTTTTGGAGAGAAACCTCAGCTGGCAGAGCCAGCCTTTTTGATATTTATATTAGGGCGACCATTCAAATAATAAAACAATGTAAAATTACATATGTGAACTTGCATCACTAAACTAAAGTAAGACTAGCTTATTCAACAGGTATATTTCTGCAGTTAACTTGTTTCTCCCCCTTTGTATTAACAGACTACTATGGGCTTCATAACATTCTTTTTCATAGCATTTTTTTAATACCACTTTTGATGTACATTTTAGATAATTTTCAGTGTTTGATATTTGCCATTTTAACTAGGGAAGCTAGCTTGGGGTTGGGGGTGGGGGGAACAAGCTAAAAAAACAAGTTTCTTTACAAAAGAATCATATAATCCCTAGGAGCTCCCTTGTCATCTAGTTTAGCTTTAGTGGCTTGACAACTACAGATGCGACAGCCCATGGGTGTTTCATCAATCACTAGGAAGTGAGATCTGTAGACCATGGGATGAATGCCTTGTTCAATTGGGAAGATCTGCAAACAAGTTGGCTGATTCATTGACAAGGAAAGGGTGAAACGGGCTAAATTGTATTTATACTCTACTCCTACATAAATTTTAGGACAAGAGAATCAAGGGTGGCTGGGTCAGCTTGACGCAGCTTTTACTCACTAAGTGGAGTTCATTTCTCACTGATGTCATCTATATCATTATCAAATAAAATACGCTTAACTTCTAATTATCAAGCAAATTGTATTTCTAAAATTGAAGATAACAAAAACATTTTTCCAATGGTTCAAATTGTAATCCAAAACAGGTACTTAAGCACCAAAACCATGGTAACCCAAATCTGTCTTGTCCTGATCAAGATTAAGTTTATGACCTCTTTTTTCAGGGTATAGTTGCTGCACATTCAGTCATATTCACCTGGAACAGCCTTCTACTACATTGGATGATCTAATAAAAAATTGCATCAGAAGTGAAATAATTCCAATAGATACATTTGGATTTGTTTCTACATTTGTTAGTTTTGCCAAACTATTAGTTTGGGTCATTACCAAATAATGGATGCAGCTATCTAGGGTTTTGAATGTAGTGGGGTAGATTGGATATCAACCTAACTTTTGGCATTTTTTGCCACTCTCAGACTTGAACTCGCCAAGCAATGGCCCTGGTGGTGTAATGGTAACATCTCAGGTTAACAAACATGAGCATGCAAGTCTGAGCCTGAGAGAGGCCAATTGTGCAGAGAAAGAAACACCAAAGGTTAGGTCTCTATCCAGTCCACTCCTCCCAAGACACCATATAGGTAGGACCAACATTCGGTAATGACCTTTTACTTGCAATGGCCCCCTGTAATTAATTACTAGTTGGTTTATCTTAATGACTTAATCAGTGCTAATTTTTCAGAATCCAAGAAAATATGATGGAACAGGACATGCTTTGATACAGGATTTCAATGGACCATTGATATATGCAGACCAAGAATCTGTGAGGAACCTAATGGAAATTTTCTTGTGTAGTGAATGTCATAGCTGATAAGGAACATGAGGAGTTTTTATATCACTAGCATCTCACCTCTTTCGATGTCATCCCAAGTTGTGGCCTGTATGTTACGACCTTCCGAAACTTCAATTCGTCAGCAATAGTAATTTGCTCAACTGGTTTACCCCTTAATGAAATATGAAAATTTGTAAACTTCCTGAGATATAGAATGGAAATATATGCCTGAACGGAAGAAAATTATATATTAGCGTTAATTAGATAAATAAATGCATAGTCAGTGAAGAAAGTGCACATAAATCATTAGAACAAAAGCTCACCCTTAATGAATAACGAATTCGATAAGAAATATGGGATTCAATTAATTTGTTTCGTGATCTAGAAGGCCTCCCATGGTCAGTTTCATCCCTCAAACGAATATCCTGCAAACAAGAGGTGTTGGAAAAGAACACCAAAATAGATTGCTAAGATTTTTTATAAGTAAATATTAAATTTATTAATTATGTAAATAAATATGTACAAGTAAACAAAACCTTCAAGACAGCATAGAAATTACATCTCTCCCCAAAAGTACTTTACAACTGAGCCCTAAAAAATACTAAAGAAAGCCATTGCTCAATGTTCATCCCAAACATCTGAGGTCTTGGAAGGGGTAGACTGAACAGGATACAGTCCTAACGTTTGGCATTTTTGCAAAAAGTGGCCATTCTCTACCAAAGTACTTCCCAAAACATATTCTTATTGCTAAATAAGACATCATACTCCCCAGTTAGACCTTTTAACTTTAAACCTCTGCATCTTCAATGCAAGAAAGGAATATTCTGATAGAATGGAGGCCTCTAACTGCATAGATTCCAGTTAAACCTTTTAACTTAAACCTCTGCAAGATGAAGCTAGGCAATAGGGAGTGCCTTGTCACCTAGGCGGTAGGCAATTAGTTTTTTAAAATAAAAATATATATATATATAAAGCCTAGGGTAGATCCTTAGGTTTCATATTCATGGTTTCAAATGTTGCGAAATGTCGCTAATGTCGGCCGACATATGTCGATGTCAAGGCTCACCGACATGAAAATGGATGGTAATATAAAAATTACATTATTTCGATCGACATTTCCTATATTTCGGAAATGTCGACCAAATCGGTCCAAATAACAAAAAAAAAGACAGCTTTTCCTATTATGTCGACAAGATGTCGACTAATGTACATTAATAATATAATATATTAGTATATTATATTATTATAATATAGTATATTAATATAAAGTATTCCATTAATAATTTCTATTTATATTTCAAATAAACTATTTATAAAAAAGAATTAACAAAATATAAAAACAAAAGAATAAATTAATTACTTTATAATATAAAACATAAAATAYTTTTCAAGTAATAAAATATTAACTAGTTAGTATTTTTTAAAATATTTATTAAAATCAGAAAATGCTTATTAAATTTTATAATAAATCATATTCTACATTTA